TAAAGCCTGACGGTGCGCCGTGGTGACTCAGTATTCGTTTACGTTTTTCGCCGACATGTCTATAACGTTTACGCTGACGGGGAAGAGCAGCATCCTCGCGGAGCACTATTTTCCCGCCGTGGATCTGAGCGACGGTGACTACGAGCTCGGTCTAACGTGTTTTGAGACTTATCACACGATTCCGAACGTGAATTCTTCGAACAATAAATTTTATTTCGACGAGGATGACACGGAAATTACGATTCCCGAGGGATCGTACGAGATACGAGCCATACATGAGTTTTTGAAACGCGAAATTTCCCGCGACGCGTAAATCGTTCCAACGATGATCATACGTCGGTCGCGAATATCGCGCGAGAGGCGACCGCTCACGCGAACAGCTACGAAGACGAGGCCGCGGAATACCCGATAGTGCTCCGCGCAAATTACAATACGATGAAGAGCGAGATCAAGTGCGCTTTCAGAGTGAACTTTAACAAACCGAACAACGTTGGATCGCTGCTGGGATTCTCGTCGAAGCGTATATTGCAGCCGAGACAGTGGCACGAATCGGACGCGTCAATTAATATTATCAACGTAAACATTATCCGCGTGGAGTGCAACGTGACCGCGGGTGCGTACAGCAACGGCAAACGTGTTCACACGATACACGAATTTTCACCGAGCGTACCACCGGGATATAAGATATCGGAAACGCCGGCGCAGATCATTTACCTGCCGATCATCGCGCGAAGCGTTACGGATCTAACGATACGCGTCACGGATCAAGACGGACGATTGCTCGATTTTCGAGGAGAAGAGATCACCGTCAGATTGCACGTACGACGACTACAGCGATAACGCGCGACGTGTGACATGCTCGTGTTGAACGACTCGGAGCGTGCGACGGATAAGAATATCTTTACGACTGCGACGATCGACGATATCATCAAATCGACATTCGGTAGCGTTAAAACAGAGACGAGAAAGAAGCTCAACGCATCGAACGTTAAATTTTTACAATCCCTGGGATTCGCGGTACAAAACATCTGAACGATGACTGAAATTCTTAACATCAGAGGCGAGCCGGTCTTTGACGATCGCATCGTCAAGATCGAGACTCACACGTACAACCCGTACGCCAACACAACGTTCGAGTATAGCGACGAGATACGATTACCTATACAACAGCAGGATCTGTATACGTTGCCGTGCGAAAGTTTTCTCTACGTCGAAGGAACATTGACGGTGACCAGAGCAGCCGGCCAAGCCGATAACGTGGTATTGGGGAATAATTGCGTCGCGTTCATGTTCGATGAAATTCGATACGAGCTTGACGGTGTGGAGATTGATCACTGCAGAAACGTAGGAATAACCAGCACGCTCAAGAACTACGTTACGGTATCGTCTGACAGAAGCGTGATCCTGCGAAACGCGGGCTGGGAACCGCATAATAACGCGAACGGATACTTCAATTTCTGCGTACCGCTCAACCTGTTACTGGGATTTTGCGAGGATTACAAACGCGTGGTGATCAACGCTCGTCACGAATTAATCTTGATACGATCGCGCACCGACAACAATTGTCTGTTGAGAAGTCTCGCGTTGGAGCCTACTGTCAAACTACTCAAGATACAGTGGCGAATGCCTCACGTGGTATTGAGCGAGGTCAACAAGCTGTCGATGCTGCGCGCCTTGGAAAACGGACAATATCTAAGTATGGGTTTCCGTTCGTGGGATCTGTACGAGTATCCCCTGTTGCAGAACACGACCAAGCACTCGTGGGCCATTAAGACCGCGACTCAGCTCGAGAAACCGCGATACGTCGTCTTCGCTCTGCAAACGGGTCGGAAGAACGTCATGTCCGCGGACACGAGCCGATTCGACGACTGCAAATTGACCAACGTGAAACTCTACCTAAACTCGGAAGTCTATCCGTACGACGATTTGAATTTGGACTTTGGTAAACACAGATGGGCGATTCTGTACGATATATACGCGCGTTTCTGCAAGGGCTATTACGGATACGAATATCTCGAGCCGAGTCTCACCGTTTCAACTTTTCTACGTAACGGCCCGTTCGTGATCATTGATTGCTCTCGACAAAACGAATCCGTCAAAAACGCCACCGTGGATGTCAGACTAGAATTCGATTGCATGGAGAACGTACCGCCGAATACCTCTGCGTACTGTCTTATCATACATGATTGCGTGATCGAGTACAATCCGTTGACCAACGTAGTGCGCAAAATAGTCTGAGTGTTTGCGGCAACGTCGACGAAAATTTTTTCTCTTTTTAACTCCCGATACAAATTTATGAGAGGGGAAAAAGAGGGGAGCAGGATATAAAAATCAGAGTGTCGCGAAACGCGCGTCATTCCTCTCGATTCACGCATCGAAGAAAGAGAGATATTTCTTCATGTTTGCACCAACGTTCGTCGACCTGCAAGGTTTCGTCGTCGGGATGAAATTTGTCGTCAAGGAGGTGGCGGTGCTGAGAAACGGGGCCGTTCTGGCGCATTACATCTTTATATGCCCCATGCCGTGGAATCTCCTCACAAAATCCGACAAATCGTGCGCTTCCTGGTTGATTCGCAATCACCATGGATTACGATGGGAAGACGGAAACGTATCGTACAGCAAGGTGAAGCGTTTAATTACATCAGCGGTGCTCGGTGAGGAAGAGGACAACGACGACGACGACGACGAGATGCCGACTCTCGTGTACGTCAAGGGATGCCAGAAACGATAATGGCTGGTAGATCTGCTTGAGAGTAAAGCGAGAAAAAACCTAAACATCGAGACTCTGGATGCGGATTACGAAGATATCGAATCTTTAAATAATCTAGATGTTACTGTTATTTGTCAAGGATAATCGGGATAAAGGCGTTAAACACAAAGACGTTGATTGCAGCAACGATAAAAGGCTGTATTTTAATTTTGACAAAATCTTCGTACAGAGACGCGCACGCTCGTAACCGTTGCAGGGGACTGACTCTTACTACTGCTTCGCCACTTCTCACACGCAGAATTACCACCCTAAGCCTAGGAACTTTTTTAACATCGGATCGTAGTGGATGATCGGTGGTAACTTACTTCGTCGTGGCGACAGTGACTACCTAGTATTGCCAACTTAAATCTAGAACTCTTTTAACATCCTCCCACCTTTAGATATTCACGTTTCACAAATGGAGAGAATATCTAAAGAAGCAATAAAACGAGATAAGGATTAAAGTTTTTTAACAGGTTTAACAGTGTGTCCACTTCTAGTTTTGTAAGGGACAATAGGATCATTACTATCACTTAACTCTACTCCGTTAGGCACCTGTTTTGACTTGTCAACGCTTTGCCGAATGACTGTCTTAGGCTTAACTCTCTTATCATAGATTTTACGTAACTCCTCTGGATCCGTATCAACGTCTACCTCCAAACAATATAATCTCTGAACTGGTCGCACTACTTGTCCCGTCGCAGTAATTAAACGCATGACCCTCACAATTCCGTCTTTTCCTGGGAAAAGTTCTATTACTCGGCCTAGTGGCCATTCGAGCCTCTTTGTACAATCGTTACCGATAAGTACGATGTCACCAACTTTTATCTGACGGTCATCGGTTAATTTTTTGGCAGATGCATATTTTAGCTGCCCGAGATACTCCGATCTAAATCTTTTACGCAACTCTTCTTTGAGAAATTGTCGATACTTAAATCTACCCTTCAGTTTTTCTCTGTCAATATAATCACAATCGGGTAAGCCTACTTCATGGATCTCTTGAAGAAATAAATTTAGAGTAATAGGATCAAGATCTCGAGGATCGTCAGACAAATATGTTAAGGGTCGAGCGCTAATCACAGATTCGCAATCACATAAAATCGTAAGCATTTCTTCGTAACTTAAACAAGCTTTACCAAGTATTTTTCGCAATAAACGCTTCAGAATCTGAATTAACCGCTCCCACCATCCTCCCCACCAGGGAGCACTTGGTGGATTAAACTTCCATTCCACTTTGGATACTAGACTAGACTCCTGGATTTTTATCCAATCGATTTGTTTCAGTAAATTAGAAAAACCCTCGAAATTAGTTCCATTATCGCTATAAACTATACTCGGTCGTCCCCTTCTGGCCACAAATCTACGGAAAGCTTCTATGAACTTATCGGTGGACAAAGACGACACGAGTTCCAAATGTACTGCACGATACACCGCACATGTAAAAATACAAATCCAGGCTTTTACTTCGCTTTTCAAATATAGCGGACCTGCAAAGTCTACTCCCGTAATCTCGAACACTCAAGCGTCGCGAACTCGATTCATAGGTAGAGGAGCAGTTGCCACCGTCAGAGGTTTGACATTCTGTCGTGCGCAGACGACACATTTTCTTACAATACTACGAGCGACCTTTCGGCCGTGTATTATCCAATATTCCTCTCTGAGAGCATTGAGTAATGTGTTGATATGTACATGTCCTAAACGCGTGTGGAATTCGAGAATCATCATGCGGACTAAAGGATTTTCTCCCAGTAGGACTATTGGATAACGAAACGAATAGCTATCATCTCGTTCTAATATTTTCGATTTCATCCGGATCAGATTATCCTCCGCAACAAAAACATTCATGTTACGCAATTGTATGTCGTCAATTCCGTTAAACGACTCTCGCTGGATAATTGATAAAATGGTCTTTTCAGCATCATTGACCTCCTCGCTCGTTAACTTCCCAGCTAGTCTATTCTGTTTACCCGATTTGTACAATTTGTAATTAGTAACAAACCGTTTTATGCGCGCGATCGCTCTTACCACAGTACGAAAGCTAGAAACACTGGGAACATAGAAAGGCTGAACCTTTGTAGTATTATTCATTTGAGACATCGCAGACACAATTTCAGAATCCAAAATTTGATCCGTCACTTTAGCAGTCTTACGTATTTCATTTTTTATCTCGTCTTCATAGTACACTACGTTCGAGATCGGCCACTCAGATTCATCCTTTCTTAGCCACTCCGGTCCGATCCACCAATTTACCCTACATAGCGTATTGATTGTACATCCTCGTGACGGTAGATCCGCCGGATTTAATTCGCCAGGAATGTGCTTCCAGGCCTTGCTACATGACATATTTCGTATTTCTTTAACGCGATTGTCTACAAAGGGCGCCCAAGGACAATTCCGCTGGATCCAGAACAAAACTGTACTTGAGTCACTCCAGTATGTTATTTTCTTATCAGACATCTTAAGAGAATTTACCGTAGAACACGCCAGTCTTACGGCCATACTGGCAGCCAAGAGTTCAAGTCGAGTAATCGTCATAGGAGCAACTGGAGCTACTCTAGCTTTTGCCGTGACAAACTGGACGTTGACTTGGGAAGCACACTCCACGCGTGCGAAAATCACCGCAGCGTATGCTTTCTTACTAGCGTCACAAAACACATGAAACGTTATACTAGTATCTCGAGCTGGTGACTCAAAAGCCCAGCGAGGAAAACGAAGCTCGTTTAATCGTGTCAAGCTACCGAGCCATTTCTTAAATTCGTTTTGTATTTCGTCACAAACCTCATCATCCCATTTAATTTTAGAGACCCAAGTTTGTTGCAACAAGAGTTTGGGAGTGATCATAACCGGGCAAACAAAACCTAAAGGATCGAAGATGCGGTGAGAGTAAGAAAGTATTACTCGCTTCGTAATCTTTTCGTTCATAATCGTTTCGATCGGGGGAGTTACTAAACGCAACGTGTCATCGCTCTTATCCCAAATAAGCCCCAATACCGAAATTTCTACTTCTCCCGTCTTCGAGTGCGAATTCTCCCATCCTCTGAGTTCAAACGCTCCCTCATTCATCGCGTGTTTCGCATCATACATAAATAGCTCGACTTCGGTCATTGTGTCTAAACTTGTTACGCAGTTGTCTACATAGAAACTTTCCATCAACTTCGTGAGATTCTTATCTGCGTTCTTAAACATAGATTTAATGCTCTCATCAGACAACAATTTCTTCAAATGATAATTGATCACTGCTCCTAAAAGAAAAGGACTACATGAAACACCGAAAACTACTCGGCAATGTCGATAAACGATTATTTTCCCGAGTTCGTCATACCATAAGAATCTCAGAAAGTTCCGATCTTGTTTAGTCAAACTTATTTGCAAGAATGCTTTTCGAATGTCAGCTACGACCCCAATCCTATGAGTACGAAAACGTAACAAAATAGTAAAAACAAGTTCAATTAAATTGGGTCCTCTTTCTAGACAGTCATTAAGAGATGGAAAGTTTTTACATTTAGCAGACGCATCGAATACCGGTCTTAAAGGAGTGGTACTACCCACTTTAACGACGCCTCTATGTGGTAGATAGTGTGCCTCTTGGTCGATCTCATCATCAGGCACCACCTCAATGATTCCTTCCGCTAGCCAGTCGTTGAATACTTGATCGTATTCGTCGTACAACGCCGACGATTTCAGCTTCTTAGTAGTCGTGATGAGCCGCTTCTCTGCAAGCTCCCTGTTGTTCGGCAAACTGGGATGTGTCTCGACCCACGGGAGACATACCTCGTATCGTCCTTCCGCATTGACAATGACTGTTTCTTCGAAACGCCTCAGAATCTCCTCATCGTGGTCTTTGCGAGACTTCTCCATAACCGGATCGCTGATGCCAATCACATCCAGTTCCCAAAGATCAGATACACAGGCTTCACGTTGAAACATGGAAATCGCCTGCTCGGCGAGACCGTCCGTAACATATTTCGGAACCTGGCCCATCAGCGTCCAGCCGAGACTTGTCTCAACTGCTGTCAATCCACACCTGAGTTGTTTAGTACGACCGGTCATCAGTTTTCCTGCTATATCTGCCCCAATGAGAATTTTGATCGGTGCAGCGTAGTCGCATTTAGACGGTCCATCAGTGAGTTGTATGTCCATCTCCTTCAATTCATCCATCCATGGTTGTTTTTCCCACAGAGGAATTTCTGCGCATATTTCCTCTTCGTCGAACACTTTGAAGTTGCACGAATAACTGTTGTCCAGACTACACAGATGAACCACATACTTCTTATGACTCTTGACCGCAGACGTAACGTTTCTGAAAAGCGAGTGTTTGAGCTTGTGTTCACTGATCGCTTTATATTTCATCTGACGAATAATGTCCTTAGTAGCGTAAGATCGAGTGGAACCTTGATCGAAAAACACCCGCACTACACGTTCTTCCTTGCCATTACGAATCTTGGCATGTAACGTCTGTAAAATTACGTCCGCTTCTCTAGTTTGATTGGAATTCGACAGTACCTTTTCTTTTCCATCGTCTGCATTAGTTGACACCGTTGCATCCCCTCGGTTGATTATATCCGGACACATTATCACCACGTGCCGTCGACTGCACATCGCACACTTTTGACTACTCCGACACACGCGACTCTGATGACCGATTTTTAGACAGTTAAAACACGCATTCTTTTGTTGTAATAACGATTTTTTCTCGTCCAATGTCATTTTTCGCGCTTTTTCACACTTTACACTCGCGTGCTCTTTTTCACAGAATACACAGTCTATCGGTTTATTCGGCTTTCCCTGTGCGTGTAGGCTTATAGCGGACGGCGTACCTTTTGCTTGATCCGAGCGTTGTTTTTGTTTCGATGTTTTGGGCTCATCCTTCTTCAAATCGAAACCGTGCATCGCGATAGATATTCTTTCTTCATTCTCTACTTCGGATCGCAGAAACTTGATCAGCTGTGTGAGTCGTTCTTCTCTTCGTTCCCCATCTGCCCCGACCGGCACTGGATGACGCTGCCAAGCACGTAAAAGTTCTTCGGGCAATGAGGACTCGACAAGCGGGAGTAACATGGCGCCGCACTTATCCGACGTGACCCCGAGCGTTTCGAGTGCTCTTAGCTGAGCCTCTATCTTATCATACAAACTAGACAATGGCATTTGATCATCCGGCTTCAGGACATTTTGCATAACTAGCTTGAGAAGCTCGCGCACGTACACAAGCATTTCATCTCGGCCGAAACGATTCTTTAAACTCTCGATCGCACTGTCATAATTTTCTTCCATGGGAGGAAAACTGTCTATTAGCTCGGCTGCACGCGACTGTGCTGTTATCGCCTGTAGAAGATATTGGAACTTGTTTCCTTTGTTGATGGCAGCATCCTCGTGTATCTTCTTGAATTGCGACCAGAAAGGCAGCCAGTCTTTCACGTCCCCACTAAATTTTCTAAGTTCGATCTTCGGCAGTTTTATCACAGGTTGCGCACTGGGAAGTGTGTTATCGACTGTCGAATTCGCATTGTTATTCCCGGTATTGTTCGCAACAGTCGATAAATGTGTCATGGCGGCCATCCGTGCCCGTATAAACTTGCGCTTGTACTCGTCGTTGCTCGTCATCTCTGCGTCGATTGTCTCTGTCTTCACATTTTCTGTCTCTATCAAGCTTGTAATATAGACCGAATTGGC